GCTGCGTCAGGCGTAGGATCCCCTGCTTTGTGTAGTCTTGGTGCTTCCGCCGTCGTTCCGTTGCCAGACGCCTCTGCTTCGCTTTCCTTCACCTTGGACTCTGGCGCTTCTCGGTGTTTCTTCCGCGACTCCACCACCCTGACGCCGCTTCCTGTCCCAGCTGCCGTCTCTCTTGCTGACCCCTCCGGCGGTCCGGTAGTCGCCCGCAGTTCCACCACCCTTCCCTGTCCGGCGGTTCCTTCGGGCTCTCTCACAGGTCTGCATATCCCCTCGTTTTCCAGGAACCTAGTTGGTGTCGGCTGCCTCCAGGACCTTGGCGTCACCACTACGTTCCCTGGTCACGAGCGGTATGCTGTCTGTACCGAGGCCGCCACTGGTGCCCCCTTGTCCACGTTCCCCCGGGACCCGGTGTCCGGCCTGTTCACTCTGGACACCGTGACCCCCCCGGCTGGGGCGCCTCCTCAGGTGGCTGCGTCTACCCAGGTTGCTGCTGCATGCTCCTGTCGGTCCCTCACTCACCCGACTCTCCTTTGGCACCACCGCCTAGGTCACCCTGCGCTCCCGCGTCTGCGTCACATGTCCCAGCACAGTCTTGTCCTTTGTCTCCCAGGTTCCCTCCCCGCGTTTCCCTCCTCCCCAGCCCCACCTTGCATGCCTTGTGTTGAGGGTCGGCTTCGCCGTGCCCCGCACTCCTCCTCCTTTCCCCCTACCGCCGCGCCGCTGCAGACCCTGCACCTGGACGTCTGGGGCCCCGCCCCGTCCCTGGGCCACGTCGAGAGCGCTACTTCCTTGTGCTTGTCGACGAATTCACTCGTTACACCACAGTCTTTCCCCTGGAGCGCAAGGCCGACGTGCCTGGCGCTCTCATCCCCTGGCTTGTCTCTGCGCGTGTCCACCGCGGTCTCCCTGTCTTGCGTCTTCACTCCGACCGTGGTGGCGAGTTTGCCTCAGGTGTCCTTGGTCGCTTTTGTCGTGCGGAGGGCATCACCCAGACGTTCACCCTACCGGACTCCCCACAGCAGAATGGGGTCGCTGAGCGACGCATCGGCTTGGTCATGGAGGTGGCTCGCACCTCCATGATCCATGCCGGTGCACCCCATTTTCTGTGGCCGTTCGCTGTGCGCTACGCTTCTCACCAGCTTAACTTGTGGCCGCACCCTCAGCAGCCGCAGGTTTCGCCGACTCGTCTTTGGACTGGGTCTCCTGGTGACGCGTCTGCGTTCCACGTCTGGGGCTGCCTTGCTCACGTCCGTGCCTCCGGCACGGACAAGCTCACTGCCCGCACCCTTCCCTGTGTCTTCCTCGGATTTCCCCTTGACGCGTCCGACTGGCACTTTTACCACCCGCCGTCTCACCGCTTCTTCCACTCTCGTGACGTCACCTTTGACGAGTCCGTCTCCTACTACCGTCGCTTCCCCCACCGTGGTCCCCCGGTTACCCCCCCCCTGTTCCTGGTCACTCCTTCCCCAGTAGTACCTGCCCCTCCTCCTCCTCCTCCCCGTCCCGCCCCCTCTGGTGTATCCCACGTCTCCCCCCTTCCGTCGGTGGACCCGTTTGAGGAGTCTTCTGACTCTGGTGGCCCTCCTGTTCAGTCCTCGCCGGCCGCCCCTCCCCTGGCGTCCCCTTCCCAGTCCCCCCCTCCACCGCCTCTGCCGCCGCTGCAGCCGTCGTTGTCGCTGCCGCCGCCGCCGTCGCCGCCGCCGCCGCCGTCGCAGCATCCGTTCGCTGACTCTGGGGGTGCTCGTCCCGGTAGCCCTGGGGGTGGTCCCTCTGGGGGTGCTGGTGTGGAGAGTGCCGGTGGTAGCTGAGGAGCAGCTTGCGGTCCCGGTGTCGCCGTTGTGCCGCCGCAGCAGCAGTCCCCGCCGGTGTCCGCCCTTCGCCTGCTCGGCCTTCCGTCCCCCGACCCTGCGTCGGTTCCTCCCCGGCCGTCTCCTCCTCTTCCTGTCTATGGCCCTGTCTTCCCTCCGCCGGACTCGTCCCCGGCCCGTCTCCCCCCTCGTTCCCCTCCTGTGTCCCCTCCTCTGTCTCCTGACCCGACTCCTCCGTCGCACGTCTGGTCTCACCGTCCCTCCCGTGCTCGTCCTGCCTCGCCTGTCTTGCGCTCCAACCCTATGTTGCTTCGTTCCCACGCGTCTCGTCCTCCCCTTCTGCCGTCGCCTCCTCCATCCTCCCTTGTTGTTGCACCCCCCCCGCTGTCTGACTACCTTCGTGCCGCTCGTCCTCTTGTTCCTCGGGTCCTTGCCTCTCTAGTTACCGACCCGTCTGTTCCGGTCTCGTGCCTTGACGCTCTTGTCGCTGTGGTCGCTGACTTCGCCTCTACCCGCCGCCTTGACTACGCCACCGCTCTGGTCTCTGACCCTGCCTGTCCTCCGTCTGTCGGGGGTGCTACTGCCCTTGGCAGTGACGTCCTGGAGGATCGCCAGTTCGAGCTTGCTTTCCTCTCCGAGGCTGCTCCCCATCTCTGTTCCATGCTGCTAGTCCCTGAGGGTGACCCAGACGCTTTCGACATCCCGACCCCTCGCACTTACGCTGAGGCGACTTCGGGACCCTGGGCCTCGCAGTGGATAGCTGCCATGGAGCAGGAGATGGCATCTTGGAGATCCACCGGCACCTTCGTCGACGCAGTTCCCCCACCTGGGGTGAACGTAGTCGATGGCCGCTGGCTCTTCAAGGTGAAGCGCCCTCCTGGAGAGCCGCCTTTCTTCAAGGCGCGCTATGTCGCTAGAGGCTTCAGTCAGCGCGAGGGGGTGGACTTCTTCCAGACCTTCGCTCCGACCCCGAAGATGACTACTCTTTGGGTTCTGTTACACCTAGCTGCTTAGCGTGACTTCGAGCTTCACTCCCTCGACTTCTCTACTGCCTTCCTTCAGGGCAGCCTACACGAGCAGGTCTACCTGCGGCGCCCTCAGGGCTTCACTGGCACCTTCCCTCCTGGGACCCAGTGGCTCCTGCGGCGCCCCGTCTACGGCCTGCGCCAGGCTCCCCGTGAGTGGCACGACACTCTCCGTGCTACGCTTGCTGACCTGCAGTTCTTTCCGTCTTCCGCAGACCCTTCACTCTTCGTTCGTGCTGGCCAGACTCCGTTCTACATCCTTGTTTACGTCGACGACCTGGTCTTTGCCACAGCAGACAGGGACGCACTGGCCTCCGTGAAGGCAGAGCTGCTGAAGAGACACACTTGCACTGACCTTGGAGAACTGCGCCGTTACCTTGGCTTGCAGATCTCCAGGGATAGAGCTGCGCGCACCATCACCCTGACTCAGTCACACTTGGTGCGCCAGGTCCTTCAGAGGTTCAGCCTTCAGTTCTCCTCTGCACAGCCCACCCCTCTGCCTGTAGACCACAGACTCTCCGCTCCAGTGTCTGAGGAGTTGGTAGAGCCCAGCGGCCCCTACGCAGAGCTGGTGGGTTGCCTCATGTACCTGATGACTTGCACTCGCCCAGATCTCGCATACCCTCTCAGCATCCTGGCTCGCTTTGTGGCCACAGGCAGACACCGACCCCAGCACTAGTCGGCCGCTAAGAGGGTTCTGCGTTATCTTGCTAGTACATCGGGCATGGGGTTAGTGCTAGGAGGACGCAGGCCAGTGGTCCTTACTGGACACACAGACGCTTCGTGGGCAGACGACGCTGAGACACTCAGGTCTACCCAGGGCTACTGCTTCAGCCTTGGCTCAGGTGCCGTCTCGTGGAGAGCTACCCGCTCCTCGTCTGTTGCGCAGTCCAGCTGTGAGGCTGAGATCTACGCTGGTGCCATGGCGGCACAGGAGCTCCGCTGGCTGACCTTCTTGCTCACTGACTTAGGTGAGCGGCCTAGCTCTGCCCCGGTCCTGTTCGCTGACAACAGGGCCATGATCCTCCTGTGTCAGGAGCCTCGACTCGAGGGCAGAGCAAAGCACATTCAGCTGCGGTACTTCCTCCTGCGTGAGCTACAGCAGCGACGTCAGGCTCGCGTAGTACACTTGGCCTCAGGTGCCAACACGGCTGATATCTTTACGAAGGCGCTTGCGCCTAAAGATCATCAGCGGCACTGTGTACAGCTTGGTCTAGTTCCTGTAGCCTCTCACTTGCTAGGACCTTGACTTTGTACTGTCCTTTATACGTATACTCAGACTGGACTTGTGTCCTCTCCCAGTGGCTGGACTAGTAGTGCCGCCCTGCTCTTGTTCTTGCCTTGTTTGTATTCCTTCTGACTGGTCTCTCAGACCCTTGTCTCAGAGGTTGGACTAGTAGTGCCGCCCTGAGCTGTTTGTTTAGGGCATTCCCCTATGCAGTCTAGGGGGTGTGTCAAACATGCGTATATGTCATGTTTGTATAGACTGTATAGGGTCGCCTCTTAGAGAGTACAACACGTAGGTATATTTGTGTGTACTCTCACTCTATCTAACATTCACTTCTCAATTTTGATACTACGGGCGCTTAAAATGGTATATCGGCAAATTGATTTTTCTACATCAAATTGTAGCATTTGCTTTGTTTCATGCGATGGGATCATTTTTAACGGAGATTCTCAAGTCTATCAAGCTGAAAGTCCAGTCGACAATGTGCCAGTCTGGAAACAGACGACTAATCCTGCTGGCGCGAAGTGTCGAAGGGCGCAAATTGCGCTTCTAGCTGGCATAGAGCGAGAATTCTCGCTATTACCCAAACTCTTTCCTTCGTTTTTGCACAATTGTTTTACGAAATATAAGAGGGGCGTGTAGGGTACATACACTTTCGAAACGTAGGGGGGGCGTTTAATCAAATAATAGCTATAAGGCCCAAAGCACGAGACAAAGCCCATGGGAATCATCCTATGGAGGGGTGTCTATTCGGGTGATTGCAGTATGAGAGAGTTACGCCATCGGCAATATCTAGAGAAGATGTTGTACAAACATAAGCTTATATAATAGTAAGTTTGGGTGTCTTCAAATTTAGCGAACTATCGTCTTATGTCGAGGATCTTGAACTCGAGACAAGGCATTCATGTTCGGCTGTGTCGCTCGCTCATTCCTGCATCATCCATTCACCGCCGCCCGCCCCGCTCTCCCTATCACCGCCATCCGCCATGCGCGCTCTCCTCGCGCTCCGCGGCCTGGCGAAGCGTCGCGGCGCCGACAGGCTGCGGGCGCTCGCCGCGCACCTCTCGTCCTCGCCGCTCCCGGCGGCCGTCGACAGCCGCACCGATGATGTTGATCGCGTCGACGCGGGCAGCAGGGCGGCCGCCGGGTTGTCGCGGCGCTACCTGGCGACGGCGGGCGCGGCCGCCCTCGCCGCTTCCACCGTGGCGGCCACGTTCGCCGCAGCTGGCGCTGAGGTGAGGCGAGGGGCGCAGCGGTGCTGGCGCGAGGGTGGTCGGGATTGACGGAGGGCGTGCTGAGGGGCGCAGCAGCGCTGGCGGGAATAGAGGCGCGCAGGTGGCGGGCGATGAGGCGCTGATTGGCGCGGCTTCATTCCCTCCACGCCTTCCAGCCCCCCTGGCCCCCCTCGCCCCGCCCCTCCCCCACCCCCTGTCCCCCTGCCTCTCTCCTCCCTGCCACCTGCCCCCCCCTGCCTCCTGCCTCCTCTTCTTGTCTGCTTCTGTAACGTGTTGTGTCTGTGGCGTCCTCCTTGCTTTCTCCACTTGAGGCCCTCTGTTTCGCGCTTCTTTGTCCCCCCTCCCCAAGTGCTTTTGAGTCGACTCAAAAGCGCTTCTTTGTCCCCCCTCCCCAAGTGCTTTTGAGTCGACTCAAAAGCGCTTCTTTGTCCCCCCTCCACAAGTGCAACGCCGTCGATGCCGTCTTCCCTCGCCTCCTCTAAACCCATCCTCGCACCACCTTGCGCCGCCCACTTTCGTTCTACTCACCCGTGCGCGCCCTCTCTCCGCCGTGCCGTCGTGTCTCCCGCCACGGCCCGCAATGCCCTGTAGGACTCGTCGGCGCACTGCGAGGCGTCGGCCAAGACAGGCAAGTCGAGCTCGCCGCATCACATTCGCACCACCACCCACGCTTGCATGGTGTGGTCTGCGCAGCCTTTGTGTGTCGGGATAGCTGTGCCGTGCCGCGCCGCGCGCACTCGTGCTGTTCCTCACTTGTGCCGCTCCCTGCCTTCTTTCCACTCCTCCAATGCCTCGCGTTTCCCCGCCTCTCGCGCTGGCCTTCCTCAGCTTCTCCGTCTTCCCATGCGCTCCTGTCCCCCCCCACGCCCCCACCCCATGCCACGCCCCCGCCCCATGCCACGCCCCCGCCCCATGCCACGCCCCCGCCCCATGCCACGCCCCCGCCCCATGCCACGCCCCCGCCCCATGCCACGCCCCCGCCCCATGCCACGCCCCCGCCCCATGCCACGCCCCCGCCCCATGCCACGCCCCCGCCCCATGCCACGCCCCCGCCCCATGCCACGCCCCCGCCCCATGCCAAGCCCCCGCCCCATGCCACGCCCCCGCCCCATGCCACGCCCCCGCCCCATGCCACGCCCCCGCCCCATGCCACGCCCCCGCCCCATGCCACGCCCCCGCCCCATGCCACGCCCCCGCCCCATGCCATGCCCCCGCCCCATGCCACGCCCCCGCCCCATGCCACGCCCCCGCCCCATGCCACGCCCCCGCCCCATGCCACGCCCCCGCCCCATGCCACGCCCTCGCACCATGGCACGCCCTCACACCATGGCACGCCCTCACACCACGTGACAGCAGCGCTGAAGCCGCAGCAGTTTGTGGCGTTCAGGGTGCAGCAGGTGCGGGACATCAGCCACAACACCAAGATCTTCCGGTGAGTGTGAGCACATGCTGTTGTGTCTGCATGTGTGTGTGTGCGTCTGTGATTGTGAGTGTGTGGGGGGTCTGTAGCACCAATGCATTTCCGTGTTTATGGCAGAAAGTTATCAAAATGCGTTTCAAAAAGATGTTTTAAACTGATCGTGCCATATTGGTTCCATTCTCTTTGTTTTCCTCTTCTCCCTCAACCGCCCCGGCTCTCTATCCTTCCTCCCCCCTCATCTCCCCCCTCTCTCTGCTTGCCCGCACCCCCCCCTGCCTATCTGCCCGCACCCCCCCCTGCCTATCTGCCCGCACCCCCCCCTGCCTATCTGCCCGCACCCCCCCCTGCCTATCTGCCGCACCCCCCCCTGCCTATCTGCCCGCACCCCCCCTGCCTATCTGCCCGCACCCCCCCCTGCCTATCTGCCCGCACCCCCCCCTGCCTATCTGCCCGCACCCCCCCTGCCTATCTGCCCGCACCCCCCCCTGCCTATCTGCCCGCACCCCCCCTGCCTATCTGCCCGCACCCCCCCCTGCCTATCTGCCCGCACCCCCCCCTGCCTATCTGCCCGCACCCCCCCCTGCCTATCTGCCCGCACCCCCCCCTGCCTATCTGCCCGCATCCCCCCCCTGCCTATCTGCCCGCACCCCCCCCTGCCTATCTGCCCGCACCCCCCCTGCCTATCTGCCCGCACCCCCCCCTGCCTATCTGCCCGCACCCCCCCTGCCTATCTGCCCGCACCCCCCCCTGCCTATCTGCCCGCACCCCCCCTGCCTATCTGCCCGCACCCCCCCCTGCCTGTCTGCCCGCACCCCCCCCTGCCTATCTGCCCGCACCCCCCCTGCCTATCTGCCCGCACCCCCCCCTGCCTATCTGCCCGCACCCCCCCTGCCTATCTGCCCGCACCCCCCCTGCCTATCTGCCCGCACCCCCCCTGCCTATCTGCCCGCACCCCCCCCTGCCTATCTGCCCGCACCCCCCCCTGCCTATCTGCCCGCACCCCCCCCTGCCTATCTGCCCGCACCCCCCCCTGCCTATCTGCCCGCACCCCCCCTGCCTATCTGCCCGCACCCCCCCTGCCTATCTGCCCGCACCCCCCCTGCCTATCTGCCCGCACCCCCCCTGCCTATCTGCCGCACCCCCCCCCTGCCTATCTGCCCGCACCCCCCCCTGCCTGTCTGCCCGCACCCCCCCCTGCCTGTCTGCCCGCACCCCCCCTGCCTATCTGCCCGCACCCCCCCCTGCCTATCTGCCCGCACCCCCCCCTGCCTATCTGCCCGCACCCCCCCTGCCTATCTGCCCGCACCCCCCCCTGCCTATCTGCCCGCACCCCCCCTGCCTATCTGCCCGCACCCCCCCTGCCTATCTGCCCGCACCCCCCCTGCCTATCTGCCCGCACCCCCCCCTGCCTATCTGCCGCACCCCCCCTGCCTATCTGCCCGCACCCCCCCCTGCCTATCTGCCGCACCCCCCCCTGCCTATCTGCCCGCACCCCCCCTGCCTATCTGCCCGCACCCCCCCTGCCTATCTGCCCGCACCCCCCCCTGCCTATCTGCCCGCACCCCCCCCTGCCTATCTGCCCGCACCCCCCCTGCCTATCTGCCCGCACCCCCCCCTGCCTATCTGCCCGCACCCCCCCCTGCCTATCTGCCCGCACCCCCCCTCCTATCTGCCCACACCCCCCCCCTGCCTATCTGCCCGCACCCCCCCTGCCTGTCTGCCCGCACCCTCCCTGCCTATCTGCCCGCACCCCCCCTGCCTATCTGCCCGCACCCCCCCTGCCTATCTGCCCGCACCCCCCCCTGCCTATCTGCCCGCACCCCCCCTGCCTCTCTGCCCGCACCCCCCCCTGCCTATCTGCCCGCACCCCCCCCTGCCTCTCTGCCCGCACCCCCCCTGCCTATCTGCCCGCACCCCCCCTGCCTATCTCCCGCACCCCCCCTCCTATCTGCCCGCACCCCCCCTGCCTATCTGCCCGCACCCCCCCCTGCCTATCTGCCCGCACCCCCCCCTGCCTATCTGCCCGCACCCCCCCCTGCCTATCTGCCCGCACCCCCCGCTTCCTATCTGCCTGCACCCCCCCCCTGCCTATCTGCCCGCACCCCCCCTGCCTGTCTGCCCGCACCCCCCCCGGCCTGTCTGCCCGCACCCCTCCCTGCCTATCTGCCCGCACCCCTCCCTGCCTATCTGCCCGCACCCCCCCCTGCCTATCTGCCCGCACCCGCCCCTGCCTATCTGCCCGCACCCCCCCCTGCCTATCTGCCCGCACCCCCCCCTGCCTGTCTGCCCGCACCCCCCCCTGCCTGTCTGCCCGCACCCCCCCTGCCTATCTGCCCGCACCCCTCCCTGCCTATCTGCCCGCACCCCCCCCTGCCTATCTGCCCGCACCCCCCCCGGCCTGTCTGCCCGCCCATCAGCTTTGCCATTGAGCCGGACACTCGGCTCGGCCTCACAGTGGCATCATGCCTTGTTACAAGGTGACATGCCTTGTTACAAGGTGACATGCCTCGTTACAAGGTGACATGCCTCGTTACAAGGTGATATGCCTCGTTACAAGGTGACATGCCTCGTTACAAGGTGACATGCCTTGTTCCAAGGTGACATGCCTCGGTACATGGTGACATGCCTCGTTACAATGTGACACGCCTTGTTACAAGGAGACATGCCTCTTTTCAAGGTGATTCGGATGATTCAAGCCTCGGTAGATCACTTTTACAGAGTTGTTTCAGGAACCCTAGATCTCTTGGCGGCGTTGCCTTGGAGCATCGCATCGCTGCCATGTTCCGCAACTGTTCCGTTGCCCGGCCTGTCCGTTCCCACTCTTACTGTTGCAAAACTTTGCCATGAGCTGCCTTTTAACGTTCTATATTTCTTGGCGCTTCGAATACTCATGTCCTTCCCTCTCCCATCCCTCCTCTCCCATCCCTCCTCTCCCATCCCTCCTCTCCCATACCTCCTCTCCCATCCCGCCTCGCCCATCACCCGTGGCAGGGCGCCCATCGGCCCACCAGGGGAGGACGGCAAGCCCAAAGTTGTCATTCGACCGTACGCCTCTCTCCCCTCTCCACACCCGTTGCCTCTCTCCTCTCTCCTCTCTCCTCTCTCCTCTCTCCTCTCTCCTCTCTCCTCTCTCCTCTCTCCTCTCTCCTCTCCATTTCCTCCACTTCTCTGCTCCCTGAGTTGGTCTCACTGCATCACAAACCCCAGACTCAAGCGATTCCGGTGCCCCTGCCTCGCTGACGCACGGCAGCCACAAACAGTGCTGGGAATGTGCCCTTGAGTCATCCACCTGCCACCTCTCCACGCTCCTTCCCACTATTTCGTGCCGCTATTCGGTTGCATCACAAGAGCCCAAAACCTCTCCTTTTCCTCACTTTCCTCACAGTCCATGATGGTGAAATGCGTTGCGAGGCTAGGTTTGATTAAAACCAGGATGAACTTGTTTCGGCTTAAAAAAGCCTTCATCAGCATCTTCTGAACATCCTAGGCATTCGAGCTGTTTATGTAGGAAATGCGCGACCCGAGAAGTCCTGGAGGGTCCACGCCAACCCCAAGAAGGGGTCCTGAAGTTCGGCTATAAACTAGATCAGTGTAACAAAATGAAAACACTATTCTAGCATTCCTTTGCCACCATGCCTCCATGCCACCATGCCTCCATGCCACCATGCCTCCATGCCTCCATGCCACCATGCCTCCATGCCACCATGCCTCCATGCCTCCATGCCACCATGCCTCCATGCCACCATGCCATCAGACATCTCACAGTGCAGATCACACCTCGCACGTCATGGCACCACATATCACACCGTCCCGCCATCACGCCATGGCACCGCTGCCCCCCTGCCCAATGCTACATTAGGTACACGCCCATTACCCCGCCTGACGTCACGGGCCACTTCGACCTGCTCGTAAAGGTGGGGCGCGAGTGAAGGTGAGGCGCGAGTGAAGGAGGGGCGCGAGTGAAGGTGAGGCGCGCGTGAAGGTGGGCGCGGGGCTTAGAACCAGGTTGAGTTTGGTCTGAAGTGGACAACAGAGGTGGGGGTGTTGGGCAAAGATGGCAGAGGGAATGTGAGATGTGTGTCATGTGCTTGCCATGTGACGCCCGTGTATATGCTCCTGCCCCTCCGCGTCCCCCTTCTGCCTCTCGCTCTCCCTCGTTCCCCTTTGTGTCTCACTTGTGCCTGCGCCCAGGTGTACCCAGATGGCAAGATGAGTCAGCACATGTTCTCCCTCAAGCCGGGCGATGCGCTTGAAATGAAGGGGTGAGGCCACCTGTGCTTGAAATGAAGGGGTGAGGCCACCTGTGCTTAAAATAAAGGGGTGAGGCTAGCTCTGCTTGAAATGAAAGGGTGAGGCCACCTATGTAAGAAATAGAGCTGAAAGGATTAATTAGATAAGGAGTCCAACGCTCTACAAGTACATGGCAAGGTGAGAGAGAATGGATGAAGAGGGATTCGGAAGGAATCCTCATTGGGATCTCCTGAATCTCCAATTGAGTAATTAGGGATTGGGGGGGTCGCAATTGGGTGAGGTTGGGATTTTGTGAGTACACGCTGTCCCACTAGAACCTTCTTAGTCTAAACTAGGATATAAAAGTACAAATACAAAAGAGGATTTGCAATCTATTTCTAACACACCCCCATAGACTGCAAACCCGGTCAAGGAGCACATAGCCCCATGGAACGGAGAAAGCGATGGTGGCCAGCTTTGCCGAGAGACTTGGTCAGCGAGGTGGCAATCTGAGGCGATGTACTGTACCGTCAGCTGGTCACTCTAAACAAGATCTCGGATGAAGAAATGACGAAGTTCGATGTGCTTGGTGCGAGAGTGGAACACAGGATCCTTGGTGAGGTGAATGGCGCTCTGGTTGTCACACCACAGGGTGGGCGACTGCTGGGGATAGCCTAACTCAGCGAGGAGAAAGGAGAGCCAGCGTGCCTTTTGAGCAGCCATTGTGCCTGCGTAAAGCTCGGCCTCGCAGGATCACAGGGAGAGTGCAGAGGATCGAGTGGAGCGCCAGCTGATGAGGATCGAGTGGAGCGCCAGCAACACTCTTGAAGAGTTTGTGTATCCCTCGAGCTTGACTGGAGAGGTACCACCGAGAGTGAGGATGTGAGACTTGGTGGCTTGTAGATATCGGAGGACCTCCTTAGCTGCAGACCAATGGGAGGCAGTCTAGCGTCCGGGGGAGACATACTGAGAGATGACATTAACCGGGTAAGCCAAGTTTGGTCGAGTGCACATCATGACATACATGAGTGAACCGACTAGCTCTGGGTACGGGTCCTTGCAGGCGTCTGGAGAAGGAATCGCAGGGACCGTGAGCTGATGCTGTATTGGGAGTGGAGTGGAGACAGAGTTACTGGAGTCCATGTCCAAACGCTTGAGAAGGTTGTTGATGTAGGACTTCTGGGAGAGCGGGATTGGCAAGCCTGGTGGTCACGAGTGATCTTCATCCCCAGGTAGTTTTTGAGGTCACCAAGATCTTTCATGAGAAGGGCGGAGCTAAGAGCGGACTGGACAGCTGCCATCTCGACTGAATCTCTGGCAACTAGAATGAAGTCGTCGACGTAGACGAGGATATAGAAGGGCTCGGAGGAGTGACGAATGAAGAGACTGGAATCTGAGGCGGAGGGATGGAATTCAAGTGCGATGAGAGCTTGTTGTGCCACTCACGAGGAGCCTGCATGAGGCCATACACTGGGCGCTTCAGCTTCCACACTGTGTTGGCAGGGTAAGTGCCAGGAAACCCCAATGGGCGTTCCATGTGAACATCCTCCTTGATCTGGCCTTGGAGAAAGGCGGAGGAGGCGTCCAAAGACTTGATCTCGAAGTTGCCGCGAGCGGCTATATCAAGAAGAGCGCGCACAGTCGGGAGCTTGGCCGTGGGCGAGAATGTTTCGAAGAAGTCGAGATACTCCTTCTGGGTGAAACCCTTCGCCACGTATCGTGCCTTGAGCAGTGGAGCTTCGCCTGGGAGTTGTTTGACTCGGAAGGTCCATTTTCCGCCGACGATGTTGACAGCGGAAGGGGGAACGACATCGTCAAAGCTGTTGTTGCGAATGAACGCCTCGTTCTCCATATCCATTGCTGCATTCTATTCTTCCTTATAAAGCCTTGAGAGAGCTTTCTTTTTTGTGCGAAGAGTCGGAATGGTCAGGTTCTCGGTGAAGTTGAGAGAAGAGCAGTCAGTAATGTCCGGGAAGATGTGAGAGAGAAATTGGCAGACCGCGTGAAGGTCAAACAGCTCCTCATGCCTGTCCTCCAGAAGTGCACGGGGGGAAATACGGATAGAGGGGACATCACCCCCGGCAGGAAGAGGCGGGGTGACTGAACACCGAATGGAGAGGGCGGCTGGTCCCTAGGCGAGAACCGGAGCCGGTTCCTTGGAACGAGTGCGATTAGAGACCGGAGACGAAAGCGGCTGCGGTGGGACTGGAGAGACTAGGCGCCTCTGGTAGGAGACTGGTGAGCCAGGCTCGACGCGCGAGAAAGGCGGAGCAGGAGGAGATGCCTCAGGGAGGATATCGGGGAGGCCGGGTGTGACACGCCGGACAGAGAAGGCCCCGGAGAAGGGGCAGCGGCCGGAGGTGAGGCATCGAAGTCTGCCCATACAAGCTTCGGGGAGGTGGAGGAGGCTCGCCTGTGGTCGGAGAGTTGAAGGGGCGTGTCTCATCGAAGCTGACATCACGACTGCGAATCAGCTGTCTGGTGATGGGGTTGAGGAATAAGTAGTCGGGGAAGTCGGAGTTGTGCCCCAAGAACATGCAGGCCTGGGTTTTGGGACCAAGCTTGCCACCTTGCTTCCTGCGCGTGTGGGGACTGAGCAATACATACGCGGTACACCCCCAGACGCGTAGAGAGCGGGCGGAAGACGTGGCCCGAAACCAGAGAGTGGTTGGTGTGGTGTCGGGCTAGGCTTGAGCATTAACCCGACCCGACCCGACCCGACCCGACTTTGCCTAACCCGAGGTCGGGTTCGGGTCGGGTCGGGTCGGGTCAGGTCGGGTCGATCTTAGGATTTTGCCGACCCGATCCGACCATAGCTGGTCGGGTCATCTCCTACCCGCAGTCGGGTCGGGTTGATGCGACCCGACCCGACCCGACTTGACCCGACCTAACTAGAAGCTATTTTTTTCCCAGGGGGGAACAGCTGGATTTCGTAATTTCAAGATCCAGTAGTCCTCCTCGTGTCTCCTAGCCCACCCACCTCATCCCCCCGCAACCTCGACAAGTGGTTTTGGGCGCTGGCGAAGTATTGGTTAGGTTGGAGGATGTTGACGAAAACCAGTGACGGAATGAATGGGTGTTGACGATTTTTTCGTTGGTTTGGGGGCGTGGCGAAAGATTGGTTGGCTTGGGGGTGTTGGCGAGCTTTTGGTTTGGTTGCGGGTGTTGGCGAAAATTCGGGTGGTTTGGGCGTGTTGGCGAAAATTGTTTGGTTTGGGGGTGTTGGCGAAAATTGGTTGGGTTGGGGGTGTTGGCGAAAAGTTGGTTTGGTTGGGCGTTGGGCGAAAATTGGTTGGGTTGGGGGTGTTGGCGAAAAGTTGGTTTGGTTGGGCGTTGGGCGAAAATTGGTTGGGTTGGGGGTGTTGGCGAAAATTGGTTGGGTTGGTGGTGGTGTCGACGAGCTTTGTTGGTTGAGTCGATCCAATAGAAATCGATCTGGGTCTGTTTAGACCCTAAGCTATACCAATAAGCATGGTGGGGAGTAGATTAGTGTTAGGAATGAGCTGGATGGAGGGTAAAAATGGGAGGAAGCCTAAGTAGGATCTGGAAAATGGACCATTTGGTCGAAAATTCGACCAAACCGTCAGACTTTCCAGATCTGCGCAACTCAGGTCGCCCAGATTGCGTCGGGTCGAGGCGCGGCCCGACTTCGGGTCGGGTTGGGTCGGGTCAACCCGACGATGTATAACCGAAGTCGGGTCGGGTCAACCCGACATGTCGGGTTCACCCAAACCCGTCCATGTCGGGTTCGGGTTGACCCGACCCGACGGGTAAAAATCAAACCCGACGGGTCGGGTTCTTCCGACGGGAAACCTGACCCGACCCGTCAAAAAGTCGGGTTCGGGTCGGGTTACCCGACCCGACCCGACCCGTTGCTCAAGCCTATGTCGGGCCGGTGAGGATGCGGATAAAGATTGTAGAGGAAAGCTGCATGGAAGAGGGCGTATCCCCAAAATGGCTGTGGTGCGTTGGCGTGACTGACGAGGCAACGAGCGATCTGAACCAAGGTGTGGTTGCGGCTCTCTGCAATGCCGTTCTGCTGCGGGCTTTCGGGGAGCGTGAAGGTTTGCCGAATCCCATGGGCCGCGCAAAGGTTATCGAGTTTGCCATTGCGAAATTCACCCCCGCCATTAGAATGGAGGCACTTCAGAGGAGTGCCGAACGCGACTTGAGCATGGCGCACCCATGCCATGATGATGTCAGGTGCCTCTGCCTTGGTATGCAGGAGGTGCACAAAAATATACCGCGAGTGGTCATCGATTTATGTAAGAAAGTACCGATGACCGTCTCGGGGGCACCATACATCCATGTGCACTAGGTCCAGCAGAGCAGCTGCGACGGATGGGGAGGAAGGGTGCGGCTGCTGCTTAAGCTTGCTCTTGGTGCAGTCCAGGCAAGTGGGTGCAGGTGAGTCTGTTGGTGGAGGAAGCGTTAACGGGAGGCCAAGAAGAAGTTTCTTGGAAGCGATGTCAGCAAGCGACAGAAGTTGGGGTGACCCAAGCGATGGTGGTAGAGGATGGTTGAATTGACGAAGCTGCAACAGGAACACGGAGTGGTGTTGGCGGGTTGCGCTTGGGAGAGGGCAGCGAGAGGTGCAGGTGAACGCAGCGTGTAGAGCTTGCTGCTGTTGAGTGTGAAGCGTGCTAGGAGCTTGTTGGACTTCAGGTCGAGGAGGTCACAGTGATCTGAGTGTGCTGGGAAGATCGTGGTGACGTCTGCCCGTTGGAGCTCGTGTTGGGCCACGAGATTGTGGCGTAGTGTGGGAACACACATGCCGGTGACACTGTCCGAAGGGAAAGCTGGACACGAAACTGTGGAAGAGCCTTTGGCGTGTGTTGTGAAACTGAAGTCTGCTCTTAGTAGAGAAATTGGTATCTTGTATGGCTTGAAGGAGTGTTCTTCCCTGAGAACTGTGTGGGTGGCCCTACTGTTGAGGTGAACTCTATTGTGGCTGGGGTGCTTTGTGAGCCGGGACATTACGAAATCGTCTCATTGATCATGGCAGTGCCAGAGAACAACCTGTTAAGGTGCACATCAGCAGGGGGAGTTACAGCTGCCTTCACGGATTCCTTCACTTCGACTTGGTTGACCTTGCGAGGAGTAGGATTCACCATCCAGCTTGGCGGCTTCGAGGCAGTCCCATTGACGACATACCACTCGTCATCTCTCTTCTTGGGGGCGTGGTTGGTGCCGTCAGACACCTGGCCGGCACGAGTGCCGTGCTTGATGACGTAGGGACACGGGCGAAACCGGTTGCGCTGGAATGGTGCCGCAACGGCATAGGCCTGAGGCACGGGAGCGCGGATTGCATTCGCCTTGGCTTGAGCGCTGTTGTCCTTTTCGGCAGATAGGAGAGCAGATGAGACCTTGACAAATGTGAGGTCCGAAGGAGCAAGGCCCAAGAGCATCTTGCGCGTGACTTCATATGCCGGTGTGAGGCTGACTTGGAGAGCAGCTGCAGGGCTTGCTCGGCGAAGACTATCCCCAATTGTTTGAGTTCACCATGAATGGATTACACCTTGGTGACATAGTCTGCCATGCCCAGCGAGTCCTCGAGCTGCACTTGGAACATGCTGAGGATAAGTATAGCAGCTCCCATTGCAGTCTTGTTCAGGAAGCGGTCTTCGAGGAAGAGCCAAATGACGTTGGCAGACGGGTAGTTGCGGTAGGTTTCGACGAGTTCGGGAGGAGTGGTGCCCATGAAGACACTAATGACCGCACCATCGGCCTTCTCCCAATTCTTGTACTTGAGCAGTGCAGCAACATAAACTGCTTTGGCGGCGGCATTAGCTGGATCGGCGGACCTCTCGGGTTTAGGAGGCTCTTTGCCGTCACCGACGTCAAAAAGGATGTCGGTGAGCTCGAGCCCTTTCACCTCGCAACAGAGGAGGTGCTTGTCGACACCATAGCGCCAAGCCTTGTAGTTGGAGCATGTATCGTCCGGCTCGAGATGAAAGAGCGGGACCGGGTTGGCAAGTGAAGTGGTTGAGTAAGCCATTGCCGCTTGATTTTGCGCGAAGCAACGCTCTTTAGTCACCGATAGGAACTTCGGTGCGCAGCGCTGCAATTCTCGAAATTGGTCGAAGAGAATTGCTGAAAATCACTCTGGTAGCTTCGTCGAAATGCCGCTAAGAAGGAAATGGCGTCGGCGGAGACTCGTTAAAACGCCGTCTTTGAACTGAATCTAAGACTATGTCTAACTCTGGACCCACACACCCCCCCACACACCTCCAGGCCCTGTCCCGCTGGTACACAGCTCCGCAACCAGCTCCTCAACCAGCTCCGCAACCAGCTCCGCTCCGCTTCAACCCGTGTATTTGCTCTTGCTTGACGCGAGACGTTCGTGGAGGCGATTCCGCGAGGGGAGTTCGCCTATTCTGGCAGGGTGCGAGGGTTTAGAGAAGGTCGAAATTGAGATTCGACCAAGGAAAAATGAGGAGGAAATCGACGATGAGAACTGTGAAAGCTTTCGAGTTGAGAATTTCAACGAGGTCGAGTGCGAAAGCGATCGACGATGAGAAGTGCGCCGCAGAGTGGAGCAAGTCGAAAAATTCCGACGACTCGATACGTATGTCGCGACGATATTGTGCACGTGGCGCGGGCACGTTAAGAATAGGACCTTGATCCGCGTGTGCGGATAGGTCGCTCTGGTACTATGTAAGAAAAAGAGCTGAAAGAATTAATTAGGTAAAGAGCCCAAGGCTCTATAAGTACATGGCAAGATGAGAAAGAATGGATGAAGAAGGAATCGGAGGAAATCCTCATTGGGATCTCCGGAATCTCCAATTGGGTAATTGGAGATTGGGGGAATCATAATTGGGTGAGGTTGTGATTCTGTGAGTACACCTCAACCCACAAAACATTCTTAGTCTAGGATATAAAAGTACAAATACAAAAGAAGGATTTGCAATCTATTTCTAACAATCTGTGCTTGAAATGAAGGGATGAGGCCAGCTGTGCTTGAAATGAAGGGGTGAGGCCACCTGTGCTTGAAATGAAAGGGTGAGGCCACCTGTGCTTGAAACAAAGGGGTGAGGCCACCTGTACTTGAAATGAAGGGGTGAGGCCAGCTGTGCTTGAAATGAAGGATGAGCCCAGCTGTACTTGAAATGAAGGGGTGAGGCCACCTGTGCTTGAAATGAAGTGGTGAGGCCACCTGTGCTTGAAATGAAGGGGTATTTTTCTCCAATCGAAGGGGTAACGTGCTAATTTTGAAGGGGCTTATGCATTCGCCATCTGTGTTTACGGTTAGTTATAAGAGAGTCCGGCAGGGACAGGGGAGAGGGAGGGGGATGATTCATACCTGAATGCATGTGTACCAGGCCTCCTCCACGGTCCGTCCATGGGACCTCTTGTTCTCTCCCCTGATTTCCCAAACTGCCCATGGGCAAGTCTTTAGACACGCCCTCGCTCCGCCTGCGCTCCCCCACCGATTCATTCAGTTTCTGTCGGTTGCTCCCTGTTTGCCTTCCCCGCCTGCCCTCGCTCTCCCCCCAGCCCCATCCCCAAGCTGCCCTACCAGCCCAACATGAAGCGCAGCATTGGCATGGTGGGATGGGGCATGGTGGGATGGGCATGGTGGGATGTGAGGCATGGTGGGATGTGGGACATGGGAAGGCACACACTGTGGTGAGTGAGACACGTGGCTTGGTGAGAGATGACATGGTAGGGCGTGGTGAGACATCTCTCTTGCCCGCCAAAGAAGCCTGCTTTCTTTGGTGTTGTGTTCCGCTATCCTCTTGCACCCACTGCTCTCTCCACACCCCTTCTGCCTCCGCCCCTGCCATCCGTGCTCCCCAACCCTCCACCTTCCCTTTTTCATCCCCCCCTGCCGCCGCTCGCTGCCCCCTGCGCCCCTCTCTTCGCCCCCCTCCCCCCCGCAGGTGGCGGGCGGCTCGGGCATCACGCCCATGCTGCAGGTCATCGACGCCATCCTCTCCAACCCTGCCGACCACACGCAGGTGCCACAGGCTTCACAGGTGGTTGAGAGGGGGAGATTAGGGGGAGTGAGGCGGAGAGAGGTGCATGGAGGTGCATGGAGGTGCATGGAGGTGCATGGAGGTGCATGGAGGTGCGTGGATATCAAACTCTGTTTAAAATTCACGGAGGGAGTTCACATGCATCGGTTGGGGTCTTCAACACTCGCTGTCATTGCTCTATTCAGCACCGTTTGAGTGAGGCCAGAAGACGCTGTGGTCAGCAGGGGCGCCAGTCATGCCTCGCTGTGGCAGGTCCATCCCTCCATGTTTGCTCTCGCTGTGTTGCCACCTGCTAGCACTCATGCAGACTACCAGCTGCCGTCACCTCAATGAATGACTCTCACCCACACTTGGCTCGTCTCACACACCCACCACTCTCTCGCCCCCCTCTCCCCCCCCGCCCTCGCAGGTGTCTCTGGTGTTCGCCAACACCTCCCCCTCCGACATCCTTCTCGCTGACCAGCTGCGAGCCCTCGCCGCCTCGCACCCCAACTTCAAGGCATGCTGCGCTCCACACCACTCTCTCGCCCCGCACTCACCACCCTCCACACGGCCCCCTCGCCCTCCACATGGCCCTCTCGCCCCACACTCACTCCTTTCTCTCGCGTTGGTGCTGCACTTCCCTTCCACACCCCCTCTCATCGCATCCGTCTGGATCGCACACCTTCACCCTCATTCCACCATAGCTCTTTGCCCTAGCTGCCTCTCACTCCTCCCCGTCCCTCAGTCCAGCTCTCATTCACCCCTCGCCTTCGCCTCCACACAATCATCCCCCACATGGCCCCCACTGACCCCCTCCTCGCCCGCAGGTGTACTTCATGGTGGACAGGGCGGAGGCGGCGGCGGGGTGGAAGGGCGGGGTGGGGCTCATCACGGCTGACGTGCTGCGCAAGGCCATGCCCCCGCCCTCAGATGACTCGCTCGTGCTGGTGAGGGGCGCCATGCTGCCGCACCACATCATGCCGCATCCCACCACACCACCTGGCACCAAGACGGTGGTGTTGCATCCCATGCCACGGCATGGCGTTGCATGGCACGGCATGGCGTTGCATGGCACGGAATGGCGTTGCATGGCACAGCATGGTGTTGCATGGCACAGCATGGCGTTGCATCACATCTTTGGACATGGCATGTCATGATGTGACATGGCACTGCATCACCTCACATGCTGTATGTGGATGGGGTCGGAAGGGAATCCCTGAACCTCCTTTGTGGCCGCCTGTCTTGCCTCTGTCGCCACACATGCCTTTTCCACAACCCTTCCCTGTGTTGTGTTCACTGCTGCAGGTGTGTGGGCCACCCGGCATGATGCACCACGTGTCAGGGGGCAAGGCACCGGACAAGTCGCAGGGGGAGGTGAGAGACATGGGCACACCCCAGCACACACAGCGCAACAACACGAAAGGGCACGGTTGTTTCGCGTATTACATAACAGGAAAGAGGCACTGAAAGTGATTAGTCATTGCCTCTCAACTTTATTCGTGAGCCCCATTTATTGTCCCTCCCATCCCTGTACTGCGTGGTACGTGCAGGTGGATGGCCTTTTGAAGGCGCTGGGTTATACCAAGGACCAAGTCTACAAGTTCTGAAACATACCTCAGTGCGCCCAACTTGGGTGACGTTCAAATTATAATAAGACTGGCTTGGATTACATGGTGGAATATACTCCTAGCAATGTATACTATGTCGTGTATTTACAACCTGAGGTTCTTTGTTATGAATCATCGAAAGTATAGTGCCGCATTCTATAGGGGAGCGTGACTACAAGATGTCCATACAAATGAGGACCTAGGGCTTATATAGTGGGAGTTGACCCGGGGTCAATTTGGGTTCGGAGCGCCTCGGTAACAGGTTCGGGGCCGATTAGATCGGCGAGGGTGGTTTGACGCGAGACTTGAGGGCCGAGGCTGCGAACGTGCACTGTTCGCGGTACTCGCTGTGGCGAGCCTCAGTAAGGATTCGTGAAATCCTTACATTCTCAGACCTCACTGCACCTAAGCCGAGGCGATTGTGTTCTGAAATGGATTCGAGATAGTAAGGCACGAGCGTTCCGGGTTATATAGAGGTCCTGAGGAAACTCTGGAGACAAACTCCGCGTTCCGTCGCGCACGGTCCCCTTGGAGCGACGGCGTTGCGGCCTCCGCTGGATGCAACCAACCCACCAGCACCGCGCAATCTCCGTAGTCCGTCGAGTCTTCGCTTATCGTCGCAGCGGCGTCGTCGGTCGTCGCAATGGCCCCTGCGACGGCGAGCTCGCAGGTGGCGGCGCTGCAGCAGTGGGCGGCGCGCGTGCTGCTGGCGGAGCTCGTCGCGCGCGACGACTCGGTGAGGGCCGCCGGGCAGGGGGGTGCAGGGGGCCGTGGGTGGGGCGGCGGATTGAATACGAGGTAGCGGAATGGAGGGGAATGACGGGCGGCGGGCAGCGGCACGGATGAGCGATCGCGCCGAGGACAGTGAGCGGTAGGGGGGACGGGAGGGGGAGGAAGGGGTCAAGGTGAAGAACAATGGCGATGACGTGAAGGGCCGACGGCGACGGTTGCGCATGAGAGAGGGAGGGGAGATTGTGTGGACCACGCCATGTGTGTGCTGCTGTGCCCAGAAGACTAGGTGCCCAGGTGCCCAGGTGCTCAGGTGTCTGGGCGCGTGCTGGGTTGCAAGCCTCATTGCTGCCTGTGCTCACGCATCCAGCTATAACATACACTTGCCCCAACGCCTCTCTGCCCCTCGTCTCTGCCGCGCAGGTGTGCGAGATGTTCTGCGGGCGCGGTGAGGACACGGCGCTCTGGGTGCATGCCCGCATCTCCTCCTACCTTGGCGTCGGTGAGCCTGCCGCGCACTGCGTGTGGCTCCCGCTCTCCATCCCATCCTTCCTTTGCTCCTCCAAAACCCCTCTTCGCACTTCCCCCTTCCAACCCTTCCACCACTTCCCTTGTTTTGCGTCTGCCCTCTCGTCTCCCCGCTCGCCCCGTCTGTCCCCTCCGTCCTCCGTCCTCCGTCCTCCGTCCTCCGTCCTCCATCCGCCCACGCGCTCTCCGCCGCACCCCTGCCCGCCGCCAGACCTGACGCCGTCGTCGCTGGAGGAGGCGGCGGAGGAGTGGCGGGCGCACGGCATGCCGTACGCTGCTGCCTTCCACTACGCCGACCCCTCGCTCGTACGCTTGGCTGGCCCTGTGCTGTGTGCTGTGTGCTGGATGATGCATGCCATGCGTCATGTGGTAGTGTGTAGCGTGTGCACGTCGTGTGTTGTCTGCAGCCTCAAGTTGTCGCCATCCAGCGCATGGATGTGATGTGCTACTCATGATGTGCTACTCATGATGTGCTTTTTCCCCCTCTATGCCTCCCCCTTTCCCCCCCACCCGCCTCCCCCTCTCTCTCCCCCTCACACCCCCCCGTGTCTGCTTCCCCCTGTCGTGTCTAAGACGCCCCTCTCCCTGGAGTCGGTGGGTCGCAGTGCGCCATTCAACGTTGTCTGCTGCAGCCCGCGCGTGCAGGTGTGTGTGTGTGTGGGTGTGTGCGTGTGTGGGTGTGTGTGTGTGTGTGTGTGGGTGTGTGTGTGTGTGTGTGTGGGTGTGTGTGTGTGTGTGTGTGCGTGTGCTCCCCATTGCATCTTCGTGTTCCCCCCCTGCCAGTAAGGGTATAGAAGCGAATTCTAAAACAAACACAGATACTTTTTGAGGGAAAAACAAATCGAATATCTAGTTGCATTCATATTCGGACAAACGCTTGTCCTGTGACGAATCGAATAGCTCCGAATATGGTTCGAATCCGAGTAGATTCGAATCCGGCACTTCCTGTCTTTGTCCGCGTCCATGAGGCCATTGGGTTCTACCAAGCGTGGTAAGCAAAGCACCCCCCTCCCCCTGTCGCCAGCACCTCTTGCTGCCTCCACACTGCGTTCTCCTCCATCATTCGTGCATCCTTCAATGTTTTCTATGCTGTCTTTATTCACGTTGAAGCACATTCAATGGTAACGCACCATATATAGGCACATTCGATTACTCAAACGACTTCCAAATATCCGTTCGTTGAAATATTCGAATTTGTCAAATTCTCGCAAATCGAATACTTCCGAATATCGAGTGTAAGTACGAACTCGGACTATTTTTTTACATCCCTACCCCCAGTGCAGCTAGGTGTGCCCCCCCCCAGTGCACATAGGTGAGAGATGGATGCGCTGAGATGCGAGGCTGAAGCCATTCATGTCGGTAGCGTCTAAACCGTGTGACCCCCCCCACCCCCCCTTTCCTCTCGCATATCCCATTGTTCTTTCTCATGCTCCCGCCCATGCGTGCGTGCGAGCGGCGGGCACCATCCACCCGCCAGGACTGGTTCTCGTCGCAGCCCATGGCCTCTCAGTTCCTCTCCAACGTGGCGGCCCTCCTGCAGCCCGGGGGAATATTCTTCGGCCTCCTGCCCGACTCCTCCACCCTCTGGTGCTCCTCCACCCTCTGGTGCTCCTCCACCCTCTGGTGCTCCTCCACCCTCTGGTGCTCCTCCACCCTCTGGTGCTCCTCCACCCTCTGGTCTGGTGCTCCTCCACCCTCTGGTGCTCCTCCACCCTCTGGTGCTCCCCACCCTCTGGTGCTCCCAACTCTCTGGTGCTCCTCACTCCCTCTCTTCCCCTATGTTGGAATATACGCTCTGTAGGCTTTGCGTATTGCGCTGATACGCTTGGGATACGCGATACACAAACCCGGGCTGCCTGGCGAAGAAAAATTGACATACTTTTTTTTTCCCGCGAATACGCGACGATTTTTTTCGCCCATGCTTTTTCGCCCCTACCCCAGCCTGCTCTGTAGGTGTTTGAAAGCCATCCGTGTTTGTCGTTCCCCATGTCCGTCCAAATCTCACATGTGAAGCAATGCTTCAGCAGTAAAAAAGTGGGTTCTAGGCTTGGAGGCGGTGGTGTGCTTAGCTAGGTGGCGGAGATTGCGCGAGTTAGGTCTTCTTGCAAAACGGGAGGGAGGTGATGGGGGAGAGTGGAGCATTTGTGAGGAAAGGTTGGAGTTTGTAGACGGGAGGGAGTTGGTTGGAAGCCCATTTGACGTTGTAGAGGGGGGGGAGGCTTGAGTGTGGTGAAAGGGGGATAGTTGGGTGGTCAAAATTCGACCCCCCAGAAAACGCCTCCCATTTGAGAGTCGCGTTTTCAGAAACCCTAGCCTAGCCGCCCCCATCCTGGCTTCCTTGCTGCCCGCTGGTTTTTTTCCCCTGCCCGGGCATTTTTTAAGCCTGCCCGGGCATGCGTATTCCGGCCGTATTGGACCCCCAAACCCATGTGTTTTGCGTATATACGCAAGCGTATATACGCTGGCGTATAATATGCAATACGCGATATTCCAACATAGGTGCTCCCCACTCTCTGGTGCTCCCCACTCTGGTAGGGCTTGTGAGGCAACTCAGTTGAGAATTAATTTTTCTCTACATGAATGAGCTACTTTGTGCAGAGGTCAGGCATGGCAGAGCATGCACACCATCCATCCTCATGCTCTTCTCACTCCATACATCTCTCTCATGCCCCTGCCGTGCCCGCCTTCCCCGGCCAGGTACAAGCAGCAGCGGGCCATCGACGCTGCCAAGGCAGCAGTGGGGTCAGGAGGGGCAGGCGCCACACGGCCGGTGATTCGCTCGTCACTCTACTCGATTGTGTTTGAGAACCCAACGCCCTTTGAGGACAGCAAGTGAGAAGTCAACGCCCTTTAACGACAGCAAGTGAGAACCCAACGCCCTTTGAGGACAGCAAGTGAGAAGCCAACGCCCTTTGAGGACAGCAAGTGAGAAGCCAACGCCCTTTGTGGACAGCAAGTGAGAAGCCAACGCCCTTTGAGGACAGCAAGTGAGAACCCAACGCCCTTTGAGGACAGCAAGTGAGAAGCCAACGCCCTTTGAGGACAGCAAGTGAGAAGCCAACGCCCTTTGACGACAGCAAGTGAGAACCCAACGCCCTTTGAGGACAGCAAGTTAGAAGCCAACGCCCTTTGAGGACAGCAAGTGAGAAGCCAACGCCCTTTGACGACAGCAAGTGAGAACCCAACGCCCTTTGAGGACAGCAAGTTAGAAGCCAACGCCCTTTGAGGACAGCAAGTGAGAAGCCAACGCCCTTTGAGGACAGCAAGTGAGAAGCCAACGCCCTTTGAGGACAGCAAGTGAGAACCCAACGCCCTTTGAGGACAGCAAGTGAGAAGCCAACGCCATTTGAGGACAGAAAGTGAGAACCCAACGCCCTTTCGTCCTTCTCACTACTCTCCCCCCACTCCTTTTTTACGCCCCTGTTTGCCGCCCCTCTTCTTCCCCGTGCCATGCCCTGCGTGCTGCCACGCCTTGCGTGCTGCCATGCCCTGCGTGCCCCCTCCACTGCCCTTACCAGGGCAGTGTTCGATCTGCGCTTTGCCTTCAAGAGCGCCGACCCCAGCAGCCTGCCCGCCAAGTCGCTGCTCGTGCACTTCCCCACGCTCATCAGGTGCGCTTGTGTTGTAAAATATATATCTATACAACATGCATGCCTAGATTAGGAGGTGTAGTCATTATAATTATTGGGGGGTTGTTGGTTGGGTTGACCAACCCCACATTTGGGTTTTTTCAAGATTGGATTTTGTCCTAGACATTTGGTTGGCACTATTCCAACCAAATGGTCCTTGGTCCTAGGAACCAACCAATCACCAAGCACCACAATTTGTGGTTGCTTGCCTTCCAAGTAATCTCTCTCATTGGTCCACATTGTGGCCAATTGGAGAGCACCACACTTTGTGGTTGCTTGCCCTAC